AGCCCAGGAAGTCGAGGCTGCGGTGAACCATGATCCTGTCTCTTATACACATCTAGATGTGTATAAGAGACAGCCACTGCACTCCAGCCTGGGTGACAGAGTGAGACTCTGTCTCAAAAAAAAAAAAAAAGAAAATCTGAAGATAAACTTTCTCTTTTCATTCTTTTAAAATGATAAACTTCAAGGCGTTTCCATAATCTATACTGTGTTTCGTTTGGTTTATTCAATAAATATTTGAACCTAGACCCTGGGAATACTGCAACAATAAGACAACATTTTCTCATAAAGTTTGTATTGTAGTGTGGACGATAGATAACAATAAATAAGGTGATTTCAGATTTTTAGCAATACCCAATGAATGAAGCAAAGCAGGGCAATTGTATAAAGAGTAATATGGGGTGCAGTGTAGTAACAGTATTATATATGAAAACATAGTATAATGAGAAGGAGCCACCTGCATGAAGACTTGGAAGAAGATCAGCCACAGAGAAGGAAAAGTAAATGAAAAGCCCCATGTAAGCATCAGGAGGGGAGTGTAGTACAAGATGAGGTCAGAAAGATAGGCAAGGGCCGGGTGCAGTGGCTCACACCTATAATCCCAGCACTTTGGTAGGCCAAGGTGGGTGGGTCACTTGGGGTCAGTAGTTCAAAACCAGCCTGACCAACATGGTAAAACCCTGTCTCTACTAAAAATAAAAAAAATAGCCAGGTGTGGTGGTATGCACCTATAGCCCCAGCTACTGGGGAGGCCAAGGCGGGAGAATCACTTGAACCCAGGAGGCGGAGGTTGCAGTGAGCCAGTACCATGTCGCTGCACTCCAGCCTAGACCACAGAACAAGACTCCATCTAAAAAAAAAAGACAAGGACCAGATTGTGAAAGGCCATCATGCTTTGAATGTGAATGATCTGAAAGTGCAATGGGAAGTGTCTAGAGGACTTCAAGCAGATGAGTGGCCTGATTTATATTTTTTAAGACCTACTTTGGTTTACTGGGGCAAGAGTAGCAACAGAGAAAACAAGCCGGGCGCGGTGGCTCACGCCTGTAATCCCAGTACTTTGGGAGGCCGAGGCGGGTGGATCACAACGTCAGGAGATCGAGGCCATCCTGGCTAACACGGTGAAACCCCGTCTCTACTGAAAAATACAAAAAATTAGCCGGGGGTAGTGGCGGGTGCCTGTAGTCCCAGCTGCTGGGGAGGCTGAGGCAGGAGAATCACGTGAAGCCGGGAGGCGGAGCTTGCAGTGAGCGGAGATCCGGCCACTGCACTCGAGCCTGGGCAACAGAGTGAAGACTCCGTCTCAAAAAATTAAATAAATAAATAAATAAATAAAGCAACAGAGAAAACAAATAGGAAACTATTGCAATGATGCAGGAAAGAGTAGTGACTTTAAGTAGCAGTGGAAATGGAGAGAAGTTTTCCTGGGTTCAATATATATTTAAGTTTAAATATTAGGACTTGTTTATGAATTGGATGTTGTGGGAGGGAAATCAAAAGTTCTGGGCCGGGCGCGGTGGTTCACGCCTATAATCCCAGCACTTTGGGAAGCCAAGGTGGGCAGATCACAAAGTCAGGAGATCAACACCATCCTGGCTAACACCCTGAAACCCCATCTCTACTAAAAATACAAAAAAGCCGGGCCTGGTGGCAGGCGCCTGTAGTCCCAGCTACTCGGGAGGCTGAGGCAGGAGAATGGCGTGTACCCAGGAGGCGGAGCTTGCAGTGAGCCGTGATCACCCCATTGCATTCCAGCTTGGATGACAAGCGCGAAACTCCATCTCAAAAAAAAAAAGCCAGAAATGGTGGTGCACACCTGTAGTCCCAGCTACTCAGAAGGCTGAGATTGAGAATCACCTGAGCCCGGGAAGTCGAGGCTGCGGTGAACCATGATCAAGCCACTTCACTGCAGCCTGGGCAATGAGAGTGAGACCCAGTCTCAAAAAAAAGAAAAAAGAAATGGTTTGCAATTTAAATCACAGATACTTCTCTCTTGCGCATTCTTTCTTTTTAAAAAGCCATCTTAAGTCCGTTTTCATCAAAAATGCTGAAACAATTTGAGACCGAGTCTACCATCATAAATAACCACTGCCCCAGAATTTCATATCAGTAACTTCTAAAAGAGCAAACTGGGAGACCTGAGAATTCAAGGCTCCCATACAAGGCTAAAAGAAAAAGTTGGGGAAATTGTGTAATCATAAATAGAAAAATGACTTGAGGATAGGAAACAAAGATAAGAATAAATGGGTTTTTTTTCTGATGAAGCATGACTATGATCTGTTTGGATGAAGGATAGCATAGTTTCCATAAACAGAAACCCTACCTTCTGGACTTAGAGCTCTGAGAGAACTTGGTAGGACAGTGGAAGTAAGGTCTTTGGGAGCCAAGATTTTGTTTTTCACGTTTGGCATTCCTTCTGGCACCTGGTTCTTTGCACATATTATGTGTAGGCATATGATAAATAATCATTGGTAAAATGAATTTTTGTAACTTTGGCAAGGTTTCATCCAGTAACCAGTTATGTGTGTCTTAATACAAGTTGCATTTTGAAAAGTAGATTCTAATTTGGTCATTTTAGTAATAAAATAAAATATATTTATTTCAATCACTATATACGGATGGTTCTAGGACCCAAAAGGATATATTTAAATACTTTTTGTTTGTTTGTTTGTTTTTGTTTGAGATGGAGTCTCACTCTGTCACCCAGGCTGGAGTGCAGTGGCATGATGTCTGGCTCACTGCAACCTCCACCTCCTGGGCTCCAGTGATTCTCCTGCCTCAGCCTCCTGAGTAGCTGAGATTACAGGCACATGCCACCACACCTGGCTAATTTTTGTATTTTTAGTAGAGACAGGGTTTTACCCTGTTGGTCAGGCTGGTCTCGAACTCCTGACCTCGTGATCTGCCCGCCTTGGCCTCCCAAAGTATTGGGATTACAGGTGTGAGCCACTGCACCCAGCTTAAGTACTTTTTATAAGGAAATATACTTCTATGTAAAATTAGCTTCTAAAAATGAAATTCCAGTTGAATTGGTCTTTATTTAAAACGTGTATATTTATAAAAATGTATTTGTTTTATATTTTATTATATTCATAAATTGTGTATTTTGTGAAAATAAGCAACATATTTAAGATTTCAGTAATACATGAGCCTAGTGTTTGGTTAAATTCTTTATTTATGTTGCCTTTTTTAAAAGTTATGCTTGGCCAGGCGCAGTGGCTCTTGCCTATAATCCCACCAGCACTTTGGGAGGCCAAGGCGGGCAGATCATGAGGTCAGGAGATCAAGACCACAAGGTCAGGAGATCAAGACCATCCTGGCTAACACGATGAAACCCCGTCTCTACTAAAAATACAAAAAATTAGCCGGGCGTGGTTGCAGGCGCCTGTAGTCCCAGCTACTTGGGAGGCTGAGGCAGGAGAATGGCCTGAACCCCGGGAGGCGGAGCTTGAAGTGAGCCAAGATCACGCCACTGCACTCCAGCCTGGCTCCATCTCAAAAAAATAAATAAAATAAAATAAAAGTTATGCTTTAAGCCTGGGCGTGGTGGCTCACACCTGGAATCCCAGCACTTTGGGAGGCCAAGGCAGGCGGATCACTTGAGCTCAGGAATTCAAGACCAGTCTGGCCAACATGGTGAAACCCTGTCTCTGCTAAAAATACAAAAATTAGCCAGGCGTGGTGGCGCACGCCTGTAATCCCAGCTACTCAGGAGGCTGAGACAGGAGAATCGCTTGAACCCAGGAGGTGGAGGCTGCAGTGAGCCAAGATCATGACACTGCACTCCAGCCTGGGCAGCAGAGCAACACTGTCTCAAAGAAAAAAAAAAGTTATGCTTTAAATTCTATTATAATAATTTCAGTAAAGATTATGTGCTATAGAACAGGAACACATTTTTTGTTAAGTTTTAGGTGATTTGATGTGTAATCCAATGTTAGCAGCTGTCTAATTCCTTTTTCTTTTTTCTTTTTTTGAGACAAGGTCTCACTCTGTTGCCCAGGCTGGAGTACAGTGGTGCAATCTCAGCTCACTGCAGCCTCTACCTCCCATGTTCAAACGATTTTCATGCCTCAGTTTTCCACATAGCTGAGATCACAGGCATGCGCCACCATGTCCTGCTAATTTTTGTATTTTTAGTAAAGACAAGGTTTCACCATGTTGCCCAGTCTTGTCTTGAACTCCTGACCTCAAGTGATCCCCCTGCCTCAGCCTCCCAAAGTGCTGGGATTACAGGCATGAGCCACCACACCTGGCCCTGATTCCAATTTATTACATTGTTTTACTTAACTATCTGGTCCTTTAAAAGAAATACATGAAGTCTGGCAGCCTGTTGTAAATTTGCATATATTAGCATGTAAATACATAAAATAATCATTTTCTATTTTGTTTTGTGAGGGTAGAAGGTCCAGCTTAAAAAATGTGTCTGACCTTTTTGTGATGGGAGGAGCTCTTGTTTTAGAATCTGCAGCTCTCTTGCACTGGCTAGAGAGGGAAGGTTACGGCCCTTTAGGAATGACTGGAATATCCATGGGAGGACACGTAAGCCTTTTTATTTCTGCTTACATTTAATTATGTTTATGTTTGTAAGATCTAGAGAACCTGGTTATTTTAAAAATTCACTTTAGGTATAGAATTAGTTTTGGTAAAAGTAGGAAGCAGAAACACATTCCAAACTCTTACTCCAATTATGAAGTAATGATGTTAATTTTTTGCATGATTTATATAGACACTGTAGTATTCCACAGTTGTATCTCAGGTATTAGATTTAATATTTTATTACAAATTAATTATAAAATTTAACTTTTCAAGTCTCAAGTATAAATGCCCAATTTTGCTGTTACATTGGTCAAGATAGCTGAATTGGAAAATACTTTCCATTTATCTATCTCCCTAGTACCACCAACCTATTTTACTTTTTGTCTGCCTTTTAGAGTGTACTAAAATGGATTCCTAATTGCTTTTCTGTCTCTAGTCTTTTATTAATCCTTTTCTTTTTTCTTTTTTTTGAGACAGAGCCTTGCTCTGTTGCCCAGGCTGGAGTGCAGTGGCTTGATCTCGGATCACTGCAAGCTCTGCCTCCCGGGTTCATGCCATTCTCCTGCCTCAGCCTCCCAAGTAGCTGGGACTACAGGTGCCCATCACCACCCGGCTAATTTTTTGTATTTTTAGTAGAGACTGGGTTTCACCATGTTAGCCAGGATCGTCTCGATCTCCTGACCTCGTGATCCACCCGTCTCGGCCTCCCGAAGTGCTGGGATTACGGGCATGAGCCACAAAGCCCAGCCTCTTATTGATCTTTTCCTTAACCATTTCTCCTCCACACCCTAACTACAGTGATCTTTCTAAATCTTGTCTTTGTTCTGTCTTGTTCAAAACCTGCCAAAAGCTTGTGGGCACACTGGGCTCCAGCTGTGTCACATGCTAGCATCCCTCTAGTGCTCCCTTATTCTCTTTCACCTAGCTGAGTAACAGCTTACCCTTCTGTTTCAGCTGTGACACCCAGCCTTACCTCCAGACTATACTTGAAACTCTCATTAGTAACTTTTTACTGTACTTTACTGACTTGTTCAGCAGTCTGTTTTCTCCATGAAGCAGTTGAGACATAGAAGGCCAGGAATATGCTCTGATTTATTACTTGGCACATATTAGTCACTCAGTACATTTTTTAAAAATTATTAGTATTTTGTTTGTGTGTGGGCTCAAGTGATCCACACAGGTTGGCCTCCCAAAGTTTTAGGATTATAGGTGTGAGCCACTGCACCTGGCCTAAAAAATAATCATACCCCAACCTAGGCAACATAGTAGTAAGACCCTGTCTCTACAAAAAAATTGTTTAAAAAATTAGGCATGGTGGCACATCTCTGTAGTTGTGGCTACATGGGAGGCTGAGGGGGAGCCCCCGAGTTTGAGTCTGCAGTGAGCTGTGATCATACCACTGCACTCCAGATTAGGTGACCCAGACAGAAGCGAGATTCTATCTCAAAATAATAATAATTATTATTATTATATGAAGTTTCTTTATTTCTCTTGAATTTGAAAGTTAAGTTCAAAAACTTACTCAAATTTAAAACTACATGGGCGCAGTGGTTCACACCTGTAATCCCAGCACTTTGGGATGCTGAGGCAGGCACATCACCTGAGGTCAGGAGTTCAAGACCAGCCAGACCAACATGGTGAAACCCCATCTCTACTAAAAATGCAAAAATTAGCCAGGTGTGGTGGCACACGCCTGTAATCCCAGCTACTCAGGAGGCTGAGGCAGGAGAATCGCTTGAACCTGGGAAGTGGAAGTTGCAGTGAGCTGAGATCGCGCCACTGCACTCCAACCTGAGCAACAGAGCAAGACTCCATCTCAAAAAAAAAAAAAAAAAAATTCAAAACAACTACCTGACAGTGAAACAGAAGATGGAAAAGGATTTATATTCCTACCTAGTAGTGTTTCCATTGTTATCACCTAGGTCAGGTCCTTATAACTTTCACCTGGATTACTGCCTATCAACTGGTCTTCCTACCTCAGCTCTCCCCTTCTCTATTCAGTCCTGTAAACTACTATCATGTTACCTTCTTTGAATCACTTCTTTGACAATACTACTCCTTTGCTCAGACCTCTTTATTAATTCTCGATTATCTATAGAACAAAGGACCTCTAATCTGATCCTGATTAATCTTTCTAGCCCTACATATCTCCCTCACTCCATTGGCCACATGTGCCTATTGACCATCCCAACTGAAGCATATTGGTTATTTCCCTATGAGACCCTGTGCATTCTCACCATCTTGCCTTTGATCATACTGATTTATTTCTATGGAAGACAAGACCCTATCTTTCATTTCTCTAGAAGACTCACCCATTTCATGAAGCCTGCCTTTCCCTTCTGATTCCTCCAGCCCAGAAGGGAAAGTAACTTTTCCAGAAGATAAAGTTCTCCCTTCTCCAAAAGGCAGAGTAATTTTCCCTTCTCTAATCACACCCATTACATTATTTTATATCTATTATGTAATCTGCTTTGTGGTTCCCCAAATTCTTTGCATACTCAGTCCACCTCAATGGTCTGTTTTATAGTTGTGATTTTGCTGTATCTGAGTAAGTCACTTACGTAATGAGTGTGTTTACCCTGCTGCCCAGCATCTACATCTCGGCATCTTTGCTCCATATTTACACAGTAGAAAGTAGCTCTCAGTGAATGGTCTTGAGGTTACTTAAAGTTTTCTATTACATTTTACTGCTTTCTAAGGGGGAAATTAAATGTTGTTGAATTTATGATTTGGGAAGTTTAATGAGGTTGCTAGACATTCTCACAAATGTTTGCAGACTTTGTGTTTATCTGACCAACTTACTGCACTGAATGCTTAATATTAAATATTTTTATTTTACTGAATAGAAACTCTACAGAAGCTCTCTAAACTATCTGTTATATTACAGATGGCTTCCTTAGCGGTATCCAACTGGCCTAAGCCCATGCCATTGATTCCATGCCTGTCTTGGTCCACAGCATCTGGGGTCTTCACTACGGTAATTTAATTGTAATTAATATTAGGTAGCTATATATAATTAGAGGTAATTGTTTTGGGGGTCCCCAAAACCACCCTCAGCTTTGGTGATTCATGGAAGGAATTATAGGACTCCTGAGTCGTATGATGATATAGTCGTAATCATGATTAAGGCTTAACTACAACAAAAGAAACCAAGAACAAGCTTCCGAGATTCCTCTCCTAATGGAGTGTTACAGTTCATGCTTAATTCTTCCAGCAATAATTATTGACAGTAAGTGCAAAGCGCTGTCCATCAGTGAAGCTCCCCTGAGCCTTGCAGTCCAGAGTTTTTATCAGGGGTTAGTGACTTGGATAACTTCTGCCTAGCATGCACCAAAAATTCAGAAGGAAAGCAGGTGTTCAGCAGAAACTGCATTGTTTATATAAGCAGTTTAGATACAGTGACCCAGTCTTATCTTTTAGGAAAAGTTTTATGAAAGTATAGAAAGCTGTTTATTGGTCAATTTCCCAGACTCCAGTTAAGGGCCAACCTTACATGCAGGTGAAAGATAGGCAGTCTCAGGCCGGGAGCGGTGGTTCACACCTGTAATCCTAGCACTTTGGGAGGCTGAGGCTGGTGGACCACCTGAGGTCAGAAGTTCGAGACCAGCCTGGACAACTTGGTGAAACTCTCTCTCTACTAAAAATACAAAAATTAGCTGGGCATGGTGGCACATGCCTATAGTCTCAGCTACTTGGGAGGCAGAGGCAGGAGAATCACTTGAACCCGGAAGGCGGAGGTTGCAGTGAGCTGAGATAGTGCCATTGCACTCCAGCCTGGGCAACAGAGTGAGATTTCGTCTGCCAAAAAAAAAAAAAAAAAAGATAGGTAGTCTCACACAGTAATAATAATAAAAGTATTGGGCAAATTGCCTTATGATGTGGTTTGATCTTAATTTAGCTTATTATTTCAGGGTGTGTTGAGTAAATCAATTAATTGGCGGGAGCTGGAAAAGCAATATTATACCCAGACAGTATATGAAGAAGAAATTATTCACATGCTTGAATACTGTGGAGTAAGTATTTCACTTTCCACCCAACATTGGTGGAGGGGGGAATTGATTGTATATTTAATGATTCAGGTTTTTAAAGAGAATAGCAAATTTTTAAAAACATAGCTAGCCGTACATACTATTTTTTAACTTCAAAAATTTTTCATTTTTTCCCGGGCATGGTGGGTGACACCTGTAATCCGAGCACCTTGGGATGCCCGAAGCGGGTTGATCACTTGAGGTCAGGAGTTTGAGACTAGCCCAGCCAAACCCATCTCTAAACACCATCTCTGTAAAAATACAAAAATTAACCGCATGTGTTGTTGGATGCCTGTAATCCTAGCTATTCAGGAGGCTAAGGCAGGAGAATCTCTTGAACTTGGGAGTTGTAGGTTGCAGTGAACCAAGACTGTGCCACTGCACTCCAGCCTGGGTGACAGAGTGAGACTCTTTCTTAAAAATAAATAAATAAAAATTATTTTAAAATAAAACACAGATACAGAGAATCATGCAAAGCATATATGTGGTTTACTACATTTATTAAAAGGCAAACACACTGTAACTACTACCTAGGTCAAAAATAAAACTTGACCACCCAAACCAGAAACCCCTTCAAATGTGTCCTAATCACAAAGCCTTCCTTCCTGCATTATTAGTAATCATTATCCTTATGTTTATTCCTTCTGCTTTTAAAATAATTTTATTATCCAAATGTGTATCTGTAGACCCTATAGTTCTTTTATTTGAAGTGCCTTTAATAAGTTGCCTTCTGACAGAAAACCAAACACCACATGTTCTCACTCACAGGTGGGAATTGAACAATGAGAACACTTGGACACAGGGCAGGGAACATGACACACTGGGGCCTGTCGGGGGGTGGGGAGTTGGGGGATGGATACCATTAGGAGAAATACTTAATATAAATGACAAGTCGATGGGTGCAGCAAACCAACATGGCACGTGTATGCCTGTGTATCAAACCTGCACGTTGTGCACATGTACTCTGGAACTTAAAGTATAATAATAATCAATCAATCAATCAATCTGTAAAAAAAAGAAAAGAAATAAGTTGCCCTACATCCCTTTATGTTCCTTATAATTTATTTCATGAAGAATTTAGGTTATTTGACCTGGAGGGTTTCTCACAGTCTAGATTTTTCTGTTTGTGTTCGCATGGTACAGTTCAGCATTTTGCTCTACATTGCCTGAAAATTGGCAGTTGGATCTAGATAAAGGCTTGATTAAACTCATTGTTTTGATTTCTTTCACAAGCCTATAGGAAACACATAATATCTGATTTTCTCTTTTTTTATGATGTAAGCCTCTACTGATGCTTAATGACTGTATCAATACATTGATGGTTGCTGATATTCTATTATTTCTTTTTCATGTATTAGTTTGAATACTTTTATAGGGAGACACTTACCTCATATATTATTTATTTACATTGTACAGTCATGTTATGCATAACAATGCTTCAGTCACATATATAAAGTGACCCAAAAGATTTTAATACGATATTTTTACTATACCTTTTCTTTCTCTTTTTCTTTCTTTTTTTTTTTTTTTTTATGGAGTCTTGCTCTGTCGCCCAGGCTGGAGTGCAGTGGCACAGTCTCTACTCACTGTAACCTCCACCTCCTGGGTTCAGATGATTCTCCTGCCTCAGCCTCCCAAGTAGGTGGGATTACAGGTACCCACCATCACACCTGGCTAATTTTTATATTTTAGTAGAGACAAGGTTTCACTATGTTGGCCAGGCTAGTCTTGGAACTCCTGACCTCAAGTGATCAACCCACCCTCGGCCGCCCAAAGGGCTGAGATTATAGGCATGAGCCACCGTGCCTGGCCTACTGTACCTTTTCTATGATTAGATATACAAATACTTACAATTGTGTTACAGTTGCCTACAGTATTAAGTACAGTAACATGTTGTATAGGTTAGTAACCTAGGAACAATAGATTACACCATATAGCTTAGGTGTGTAGTCAGCTATACCATCTAGGTTTATGTAAATACACGGTGATGTTCACACAACAATGAAACCACCTAATGATGCATTTCTCAGAACATATCCCATCATTAAACAACACATAACTGTATTTACAAGTCCTTAAACTTAGAATACAGTTTTGAGACTTTAACAGGCAATATTTCTTTTTTTT